AGCTGCAGACAAATGCGGATAAATAGCACCACTTCCCCATTTGAGTGTCATGCTTGGAATAAGATATATTTTTTAAAGCTTTGCTGTCAAGCTTCCTGTCGCATTACCCTTCAGAAAGCGTTTACCACTGCTTTATACATACTAGTTCAAATAATCATTTACTCACGTTATTATTTTCGCCATTTCACATATAATGGAATATTACTTCAAAAATTTTTTTTTAGTTGATGGTAAGACAGAACATTTTTCAAAATAACGATTCTAAAGGGGGAGAGTTTTTCTTTCGTTGAGCTCTTGTTTAATCCTGATATATAGATGTGATTATAGATCAAGAAGATACAGTTTTCTTTCTATGGGTTTTTAAATGCCTTTCTTCAATTTGTGGTTTAAGGAATTTGGCTGAAAAATTGTGAAATGTTATATTCATAAAGAAACTACTAATAAGCTACCCCCTTAACTTGGTGTTTAGGAGTGAACACTATTAACATAGATATCTTTATTATAAATACTTGGGTGGGTAGGGATACTCTGAAAGAGTGATAATAAGGGAGTATCTAAGTATAAAAAGCATCAAACTTCTCTTAAGGCTACTAAAATGTATATAGGGACTTGTTCTTTAACTTGGATATCTTTAAAGGGTAGTTGGATTTCCAGACCAGCCTTGGAAAACCTATTTAACCTATAGTACAGCCTAACTGTGCTACCTAATATGTCCAAAATCAATATTCAAATATATATTTAAAAGATATATATTGTATTCCTTCTTATTTAGTATTTCTGGGGATAGAAAACTTTCTGAGACTTTGGAGGATGTGGGCAACAGTGGCAGCTTCCCAGAAGATCTAGGAAAGTGTGTGTGTGTGTGTGTGTGTGTGTGTGTGAGAGAGAGAGAGAGAGATGTATAACTCATAGCTCCATAGCTACATATCTACATACATACACGTCTGAAAAGTTATTTGAATAAGGAGGAGTTACAAGAAAGTCTAGTCAGGTAATAAAATTCATCAGAAGCTGAGTAACTAAACCGAGTAACTAAACTAGTTATTTTAAGATCTCTTTGAAAATGGGCTGTATACACTGTGACTTTATTTATTTATTTATTTTTTTTATTATTAGTTGGAGGCTAATTACTTTACATCATTACAGTAGTTTTTGTTATACATTGAAATGAATTAGCCATGGATTTACATGTATTTACATGATTTACACTGTGACTTTAAAAAGCATTTATTTCATGGAATTGAAGTCCACACTGCAGCAGTTGTGGAATGGTACCTAGAAGAGAAAAATGTGCTTGGAATAACATATTTAGAGAAATAGTTGAGGACTGTTCTTTATGTGGGTGTCTCTAGTATAACAGATTATATGTGAGAATTGAAAATGGTGGTACTCTGAAATACTCCTATCAATAGAAGGATAGATAATGAGAATATGAATGGTTTTGCATTAGATGTGACTACGAGCAAGGAATTGTTTTGTTGGAAAAGCCTTCGATTTGATTTGGGTTTTGGTTTCTTTAAGAAGAGAGTAGTACAAAGCAGATGTTAAGATCCTGCAGTGGTACATATTTAGTGTTAAAAATAGTGAAAGTACACAGCAGGATGAATTTAGATTGTGGATGAATATTTAATAATAGGCCATAAGGAGAGAAGGTTAAAATTAAATAATTTGCTCTGTGTAAGTATCTGTTTTCATATCTGAAGTTTCACTGAAAGGCATCTGATGCATTTTGAGAGGTAGAGATAATCTGTGTATTTCATGCTTTCGATTTTCAGAAATCTCAGGGTTAAGCTAACATTTTGACATGGGTGCAAATTAACTGAATTTCAAGTAGGGCTGTGAGAGTTTATGGCACTGATGAGAAAGATATTACAAAACAATTTTAGTCACTGATAAGATGAATTTGCTGCACTGTTATCTATAGCATTAAAATATAGACATTCCAATCATTTTCCCATTTTAAATTTCTGCTTTAATTAAGCCTGTTTGGGTCATGCACTGTTTAAAGTCAAGTAAGCAGACCTTTTCTATGCCCTGGCTAATTCAGATTGAATGTGAAGATAGGACTGCCTTGGGCCCCGTATTGGAAATTCAGCCTGAAATCTGATTTACTCAGTCTCTCTGTGGGCCATTCATTCACTCTGCAGATTCTAGCATCACCAGCTCAGCCTCGATTTTCACACTTTCACAGAAAGTTTTATTTTACCTTTTGAAAGTAAGTGTGGAAAATCATTACATTTTGTTGTTCTTAGGCATAAATTCTAACTTGAAGCATTCTGAGGAAACTTAATTCTTACTTTCCAATTTTAGTTTCATTACATGAGGTCATCATATGCATATGTGTGTTGAATTGTGAAGTCAGCACCGTTTGTGACGTCAGTATATTGTTTGAGCAATTTCTGTTGTTTTGAGTAAACATTTTTCTTGACTGGTGAAAGTAACACAGTTAAAATTCCATGAAATTGTGAGTTTTGAGCAAAATCACTTGGCCTACACATATTTTCATTCTGGTGAGATCAATTCCTGGCAAATTCCTATGAAGCCCTCAGGACGGAGTCCGCTGTTTCTGTAGGAAGGCTTTGTTAAAGCTGAGACCTACCTGGATGCTCCCTCCTCACAATGCCTGTAGGATGTCCGCTGGGTTGCACTGTGGTCTTTGAAGTGTGTTCTTCGGTGACCTGGTCACCTCTGTTGGACAGCCACCAGCACGTGTCCACTCTGCCTCCGGTGCCTTGCACCATGCACATGGTGGATCCTTAGTGAATGTGTAATGAGTGGGTTATTCCAGGCATTGCAGGAGCACCAGGGTACCTGCCCCTGAGAAGGTGGGAGGGCAGAGATCGTGGGCAGCCTTGTGTGCGGGGTAGGAGCATGAGGGGAAGGAGTCCTGGCAGTTCGTGTAGCCTTCCATGCTTGGGGGGTAGGGTCTGCGCCCCTGGCACCCCGTCACCTGCGGTTCTCGCTCTGCTCCTGGTCTTCCGACATTGCCCTCATCTCTGCTGGGAGCCTGCCCTTGCTCAGGACAGCAGTTACTGCCCCGTCATCATTGGAACATCAGGTGCAGCCCACGCGTTAGCGCTCACCTCTTGGCCACCTGGGCTGCAGTCGGCGTGTGTCTCTACCTGCTCCCTTCTCGGAAGCACCACACTCTCCAACTCCGTTATCTGACCATTCCTCTGGCCTTGCTGTGGCCTCCTTTTCCCTTCTTCCTTAAGTGATGTCGGACTCTCGAATTTTGTCTTCCACCCGTTGTGCCCTTTTTACATATTCTCTGGGGGTAGTTCTTGGGTTTTATGTGCTTTGTATTGCTGAAGTCATCCAGGATTTATTGAGGGTGTGCTGTGGGCCAGGCGTGACTCGCGTCCTGCAGGTGCCCTGTGAGTGAGCAGAACAGAAATCGCTGCCTCCAGGAGCACCTGTCCTCAGCCGCCCACTTCCCTACCTAGGACTCGAGGGCAGACCTGACGCCCCAGGCCGGCATGCGTTGCGGTGCTTCTGATACTGTCACCTGGACCTCCTGTGGGAACCCGCAGTTTTAACATGCAGAAGAGTGAAGGCTCCCGCCCCTCAGGGAGGGTGGATCTGCTTCAACCCCGGCTCACTGCTGGCTCAACTGGTGTCTTATTACCTGTTAAGCCACCCTTGCCTCCTGTCTTCCATCACTCCCAAGTCGAGCTGCGATTCTATCCTCTTGCTTGAATCTGAGCGTGCTTTCTCCCACCACTGCTTCGGGCCCAGGACCTCGGCTCAGCAGCCTGTTGGGGCAGCCCAACCTGGCTCCAGGCCGCTGCTGGGGGCGCCGTCCTTCTGAGAGGCAGGTGTGACCATAACTCGCTGTTAAAAGCACCCAGTGGTTTCCCCCAAGATGCAACCGGAAGCCTTTCAAGTGACGTGTGAGGCTCACCCACCCACTGGCTTGGGCCCGCTCCAGCTGCTGCTTCTCTTCGCTGGGGTCTAAGCTGCTTCTGTTTCCTTGCACGTGCCAGGCAGTTCATCATTTCATGGAGCCTGTGCTCGATGCCCGATGTTTCTCCTGCTTGGGGGTACTCTGTGCCCTGGCCCTCCCCACCTTGAACGTGGCTTCTTCTGTCAACCCTGCTAATCTTCGAACCTTCCTGAGAGACCCTGTGTCCTCCATGTGGCCCACAGTTGGGCCTCAGAGTCTGGCCCACAGTTGGCATCAGCGTGTGGTTCTGGAAGGAAGGAAATATCTGTGGGCCTTTGTAGCACCTGTGAGGGACTTCCCCCGCCACTGCCTCGCTCCTTTGAAGCATCCGGGGCACGAAAGCCCAGGCCGAGGCTCCAGTTCAGCCCTCCTGAGCGGCCCTTGCTCTGAGGCCCGTGGGCTGACTCACCAAGCCAAAAATAAAACTCAGAAGTCCAGTCTTGAACTGGTTATGTTTGGTCAGAGCCTTACTTGCATTGAGAAGGTGGCTTGTGACTCACAGTCTGAGTGCTTATTCATGTCACTAGTGATCTTTGAAAAGTTTTGCCCTAGACATTCTGTGTTATCTGAAATCTGTCCTTTCACTTTCTAATGAGCACTCAGACACATTAATGTTTGATCAAGACTTGCAGACTCAGGTCTAAAATAAGGTAATTGTTCTAAGAATACTTTGAAGTCAGGAAGGGTTCCTAACCACTCACTATACTTTGCTTTTGTTACTGGGAAGCTGAAAGAGCTGGGTGAGGTTAACTATCATGCCCATTTCCTGTGTGCATGGTAGAATTTTAGATGAATGCAAAATCTTTCCATATATTGTTTGTTCCAGATCCCTTTTAATTATTAAAGCCTTGCTAAAAGTTAAAAAATTAAATGTCTTGTATCCACATAGTTTTTTTTTTCCTTAAATGTTTTTCTGGGTTTTGTCAGGTCATTGTTTTTCATATTTTCACAAGTAAGGAGAGTTACATTTTTAATGTGTGTGTTAGCATAATAGACATTTCTGTCTCTGCAATAATGAGGTAATAAGCCTACGTCTTCTTTTACTTCTTCACAGGGCAGCCCAATGGATCCCATGGTGATGAAGAGACCCCAGCTGTATGGCATGGGCAGTAACCCTCATTCTCAGCCACAGCAGAGCAGCCCTTACCCGGGAGGTTCCTACGGCCCCCCAGGCCCACAGCGGTATCCGATCGGCATTCAAGGCCGGCCCCCCGGGGCCATGGGAGGCCTGCAGTACCCCCAGCAGCAGGTTTGTGCTAGGTTTTACTCCACTTCCTCCCGCACTTGCTCCTAGTGTTGTCTTTGTCTTCTCCTGTCTACTGTAGGTTAGTTTTGAGACTAACCTTGAAATGTTGGGAAGCATTTCACGGATTTTCTGCTTTTTAAAAATTTTCATAGTTTCTTGAAATGATCACAGGCACAACTGTTTCCCCATCTCTTTTAAAAGCAGGAAAAGTGAGCTTCTTAGAACAAAGTGGACACAGTTCCTGTTCTATTTGAAAGATTGACCGTGTCATCATTGTGCAGCAAATTGTATAGATCAGAGCCCCGAAGTGAATTTGGCTTTCTAATATTTCTGATGGCAGACAGTGTCAGATTTTGAGCTGTGAATAAACTTCTTAAGGTGAAGTTTTAAGTTATTTAAAGGTTTTTCTCATAAAAATGGCATCAGCTTAAGTTTTCTTTAGTCTGCCCCAAATTATTTTGCTTTTAATTCTTGACGTATTTCTTCTGTAACTTTTGAAACAGATTTCTGTGTTTCTTGTAAGAGAATTTCACGTGTATCACTTCTCTTAGGTTTGATGAGTTTTGTGTTTTTACATAAAACAAGCAAAAAAGACTTTCTGCTCTTAAAAAGAAAAATACTCTCCTTTTTCTCTAGAGTCAAATAGTTGGAGTTACCTTAAATGACCGTCTGTCTACCTTCTGGCAGTAGTAAGCCCTCAGTCTCTTGGACCCTGGAGAGTGTATTCTTGTAATGTTGGCCTGAGGAGATTCAGACTTGTTTCAGGTTTAGTTACTAGAAACACCGAAAAGGCTGATGTGTACGTTCCCACACCAGGCCTTTAATCCAATAGTATACCAGTCTGATGCCCACCTGGGTGTTTTCTTCTTCCCAGATAGGTTATTCCCGAGTGCTACCAGCAGCCTGCTCCAGAGTCTCACAGTTGCTCTCTCTCAGGAAGTTCTTCTCTGCATTTGACCCAAAATCACTGTGGAAAAAACATGGAACTTTGGTTCTCTACAGTGGGTGTATGCTGTATCGTGCTTTCTATGCTCTGCAGCTGTGTCGAAAGGTTCATGAATAAGTTTCATCCTTTTAGAGACTGAAAATTGTCTTTCCTCTTTATCTTAGTTTCTCCTTCGGTGATACTTTTATTTTAAGGCGGTTGTAGGGGAAGATAGAAGCAGTTCAGCCTTTGAATCCCAGGTGTTGGTTCTTTAAGTGGTCTTTGTTCTTGTTAGAAGTACTCACCCCTTGTTTATCAAAGATGGTGTGTGAGTCACTCAGTCGTGTCCGACTCTTTGCGACCCCATGGACTGTAGCCCACCAGGCTCCTCTGTCCATGGAGTTCTCCAGGCAAGAACACTGGAGTGGGTGGCCATTCTCTTCTCCAGGGGATCTTCCCGAACCAGGGATTGAACCCAGGTCTCCTGCACCGCAGGCAGATTCTTTACCGTCTGAGCCACCAGAGATTGGCCACTCAGAATTCTAGCAGTCGCATACTTAATTGTACTTTTAATTTTTTTTAACATTACTCCTTTCTTCTAGTAATACTTTGCCACCTAGAGTAAAACTCTTTAGTTGAGACTGCTAATTATGAGGAGATAATTTGTAAATGATTGAAAAGTCAGGTGAGAGCTGTGATTCCCCCCCCCCTTTTTTTTTTAAAGTTTTAAAGCTAATTTCCCCATAGATGAGGGGAAGAAGGCCCAGGTAGGCAGCTGCTCCGGTCCTGATCACCAGCTGGGTTCGTTTGGGGCCGACAGTTGTGTGTGGGACTCTGGCCACAGGGGGCGAGCCGGGGCGGCGGGGCGGCGGGGCGGCGGGGCAGCAGGGGACTGGAGGCCGCCCCCCTCTTCTTACACCTTCCTTTCTGCCGTGTTTCCCCGAAGGGAAATTTGGAGAATCGTTTCAAAAGGAGCTCTTCATGGCAAGCTGCTGGATGAACGTTCTCCTCTGAATGAGTTAAAGTCTTTTTTTTTTAGATTAATTAATTAATTTTAATTGGAGGATACTTACTTTACAGTATTCCAATGGTTTTTGTCATATAGCAACACGAATCCGCCACAGGTATGCATGCGTCCCCTCCATCCTGAACCCCCCCCCCAATCCCTCCCCACCTTTCCCTCCATTCCCTCCAGGTTGTCACAGAGACTGGCTTTGGGTGCCCTGTGTCATACGTCAAACTTGCACTGGTTCTTCTACATATGGTAACGCGTATGTCTCTGCTGCTCTCTCGCATCATCCCGCCCTCTCCTTCTCCCACTCAGTCCAAAAGTCTGTTCGGCGTGTAGGCTCATCGGTACCATCTTTCTAGATTCCATATATGTGTATTAATACACGGTATTTGTCTTTCTCTTTCTTGAATGAGTTAAAGTCTTGTTAGAAGTTTAAGACATTGGCTTATTTTGCAGTCCCAGAGTGGGAGTCTAACATTCTTCACAAGTGTGAAGAATGATTACCTGGGAATATTTTTTTCATTGTTTTCTTCCCACATACATAAGGCTAAAAGTGGAGGACGTACACAGTTACGTAGAATAACTGCAGTTTTCTTTGCCTTTTTGTTTTATTTAATCCCCTCGGATCTTACATACTTTCTAAATCCAGTAACTCCTGGATTTATTTGAAGGGACAAATTGATAAAAGATTACTCACCAATGTTTTAGCAAATTTTTAATTACGATTTTAGATTAGGTATTTTACTGCTAACCAAAAAAAAAGCCTAATTCTGTTTAAGCACAGCTCTTTCTGTAATGAAAGGAAAATAGGGTATCTAGTAAGAAACTGAATGCCCTGGCTATCAAACTTCCATATTTGGGAGTTAATCATAATCAAAAATTCTAAATAATCTGTATTGCTCTTTTACTTTTTCACTTATAGTATAGCCTTGAAATGACATATCTTATTTTGAAATCTAAAAGGCTAAAAAGAACTGCTAATGCATTTTTGAGTGTGTGTAACATTTTAAAGGGGAGTCATACAGCATAATACCAAGTTTATGTGATTAGGTAGGTGTAGGTTAATTAATCGCTTTGGAAAGGAAAAAAAAAACGGTGCAGGTTTTGGTGAAGGTTATTAGAGTACGTTTATTTTGTTAGCTTTAGTCTGTGTTTGGTGAGGAATTTTCAGTGAGTTGCTTTATTCACAAATTTTGGATAATTATAAATTTGTTCTGCAAACAAGGTCCTGGCACAGTGATTGGCTGCTGGTCCTTTCCGTCTTCTCTTGGGCTAAGGCAATTGGCCAAGGATTGTTGTGGTCATGACTGCTGGTGTTCCTCTGGGAAAAAGTTGGAAGATAATGATGACATTGAGTTTTTATTGAGTGGACATCACCACCTAGGCATGACTTTACTTTGGACGACCTCCAAAGCTTTCTGTGCTTGGTTTGTGAACCTCTAATGAGCTGAATCCAGTTCATTTAATATTGCTCATATACTTCTGCAAAGGATTAAAATGCAGGAATTCAAGTTTGTAAATTGAGTAAATTGAGTTGCCCACTTACCAGCTGAGTGGTAAGTTGTCTTTGGCTCAGGGGTCACAGTTTTGATTCCTGACTGGCATTCTATTCCTGTGATAGGAATTTTAAATGAGTATGTGTTCGAAAGAACCACAGTGCATATATGAAATTTAACATGCTGAGTATCACTGCTTACTTTTTATCTCTGAGAGTCAGGGGGAACTGGCCACTGACTGTTTGATTTTAGTATTAACCTAGTGATTCTTGATTTGTATGGTGATAATTTTATTTTTGAAATATACTCATGACTGGGTCTTTGAAGCATGACGTGATAATAGTACATCATTTTGGTGTTTATTAACTGGAACTAGACTTGTGGTCTTTCACTTGCTGATTCTCTCACATCATCAGGCAAATACATGGCTAAACAGATTAGTTTTGCACGGTGCCCTGGAAACTAGTCTACTTGGGTTTTTATTGAGCTGAGAGGGGAAATGAATTTTCTATGCCTCTGTGAAGAATGTTCTGCCTCTAGGCTCCTGGAATTCAAACCTGGGGATGGTTAACAGAAGTACACTGGTTGATTTCATCTAATACAGAGCTACATAGAGGATATATAATCTGTAAGGCTGCTAGAATCTGCTTCTGTTTTTTTAAACTTAGACACCAGTGTGTCCTTTGCGGGATCAGGGATGTGGGTAAGCAAATGTTTTATTTCATTTTTATTGTCCTTTGTGATTGTAAATGTATACATAGGCCTATGCTGACTTGCTCTAAAAAAGATTTTTCATAGAAATAGCACCAAGAAGAAATAGGTTACAGAAGCAAAGTTATATTTATTTGTGTCAAGTGGATTTCAGTGATGTTGTCTGAGATTTTTCGTGAGTTATCAAGGGTTAATTGAATTGATATTTTAAGGCTGTGTCTTGTTGCAGATGTTTGGATAACCTGATACATGTTGGAATTACAACACCAACCCTGGAGTTATAAAGCAGGGAAAGAGAAGAGGGCAGGGTGAGCGCCTTTGTGATGGAAACATGACTGTTAGTTTTTAAACACACGTGTGTATTGTGAAGGCCTTTACAACAGCAGCGATATGGAGCAGAATGATTGCTCCATGCCATGGCAGATACCATGTCAAAATTAAATAGGATTAGTTATTTTTGTTAAGGTGACCCATCTGCACTTACCACTTTCAATCTAAATAACAACTGAATTTAAAACTGAAGTTGTTTTGAAAAAGACTTTAAAAATGAATAGATGTTTTAATTTGTGTCTTTATCTTCTACACCCTCTGGATATGTATTTTGCTATGTGCTTGTGGAGTGAAACATTTATTTCAGAACATAAGCATTTTATTTGGTACCATCCTAACAGCCAAAACACTTCTTCCAGTGCAAATGTTTATTTTGGCAGCAGATGTTTCTAAAAGGAGACAAACATTACAATTGTTTGGCTAAAATAAATGTTTTCTTTGGGGTTATTAAGGAGCCAAGTGAGTTCTAGGATTCCCACCTGTGTTACTTTGTATTGTCAGTCTATTCTGGGAAAAAAATTGCTTATTA